CTCGCCACTTGGGTTATAGTACCACGAGACTATTGGCCCTTGTGGTCTTTATGCTTATACACGAGCACGAGATGTGGATGCGTGTCTTTGTGTATGAATAACCCTAATTTGCTTCTATGCTCAATAACTCCATTATACGCATGCATATATCATGTATCAAATACTTTATTCAAATACTTTATTCAAATACTTTAAGGAATACCAGATACCGAAGAACCTTGTTTAGCTTACCTCACTGTAGCATCAATGTGAATTTGAAGGGCGTCATTCGGCTCTGCCTTCGGTGTATCGATATCAACCGTCAGGAGCCTGACTAACGCCTACATGAAGGTGCATGCAGCTGTACAATGAGTTACTTTTCGTCTGTCTTGGCGGAATCTAGAATAGGGTAGTCTGATAGACTTCTCGCGCTAATAAGCATGCATCTACACTAACATATTATATCACAGTGCCCCCCTCCTTTCCAGCTACACGTGGGAGTGGTTGAGCCAACCCTGTATTCTAGGGCGTCGAGTGATTGCGCCAAGGCCATCACACCCACTCTAGGTCCAACTCTAATTTCATCTATTGGATAGGATGGATGAGAAAATAGCCGCTGTGATTGGATACATGATTGGACAGGAATATTTCTGGCGCGGTTGGGTGGGATGGATGCAAGTCCAGCACTTTGTGGTCGTGAACAGAGACGTGGCCAGGCTCTCGAGGGCGTGATACATTGGCGACGAAAATGAGGAAAGCGTCACCATTTATGCTCTTTAAAAGCCAAAGACCTGTTCACGCATGACCCCTCTTCAGTGTATCGTCAGCAGGTCCCGGTCCAATAAATATCGGTGTGCGCCCAACCTTGGTAAATATAAGGCTGTCGGCAGTTAGAAGGTGTCGGAACGCGTGTCTTCTCGTCAGTGAATCGTCCTCGCCGCAATTCGACGCCAAGGCCTCTAGGCATCATGCGCAAACTCGGGCGCAGCAATGGTGGCATCACAGCCCTACGCCTTTATCTGATGGAGGCTCAAACACGCCCGACTGGGCGAGAGTGCAACTTTAATGCTTCGACGAACACATGTATCGATCAGCGTGTCCTCTTGTGCCAAATTTGATGCCTATCCCACCCTCCAAGGGTACTGTGACACCAGCAACCGGATGGCCGACTTCGAGATAATGATGATTGGCCACTGCCAACAACCCCGCCTTGTACATGTACGGTCGGGTGTATGAATGACCATCGATCCCGATCACATTGAACCTAGCCAAAAGCCATGGATTTTCCAACTTCACTGAGCACAATCTTCCGCCAGCCGCGAGCAACCGTCACCACGGCACGTTGCACCGATATCGATATCCCTACCTCCTTCACCCATGGCCCATGCTCATTCCCCAACCAATTCTGATCACTGGGACAAGGTCTTGAAGGAACGCCAGGATGCCCTGGAGAAGGCCAATCCCGTGGAGTTCGGGGCCCCCAACTCCGCCCTCTGCACGGCCGGGCAGTTCCAGGACTTCATGGACAACCTGATGCGCACTCACACACAGAAGCCCCTTTTCAGGGGACTACAGAGAATTTCAGCCACCCTAAGCCACGTGCAGTCGTTCGCGGGCGCCATAACGTCCTTATCTCAGGTGGACATGGCGGGCATGCTGATCTGGGGCTCGCTGCAGGTGGTCATTGAGGTCCGTACCTATTTGTTTATGTTGACTGTGTATATGTACTCATTCGAGTGATAATACAACGCCATGATATTAGATAGATATCCACCTTGGACAGTGACACCACTGGTGCTAATACTGTGGCAGTGTGTGTGTAGATACTCCAATGATGTCGAATCGACACTTGAGCTCATTGCCAATGTTAACAACTCATTACCCCTGTACGCCCAGGCTTATGCATTGTATCGGGACAAACAGTCGCTCGCATGGCCCCTGAGAGACCTGTTTACCGTCTACATTGACTGCTGTGTGGTGGTAGTGAGGTACTTTAGCCGGGGTGTGTTCTGTAAGTAATGATTTACATTGTAAAGACGTATGAGTCGAGACTGATAACCTACCTATCTTTCTGCAACAGGGAATCTATTCAGGAGGTTATGCTCCTCCGCACTTAGGAAGAAGCTGGAAAAGGCTGCAAGGGATATAGAACACCACGAGAAGCGCTTTCTCCAAGCAGTCGAGCAAGCGAAGCGCGAGGTAGACGACCATCGCGACATCCAAACCTCGCAAGTATTGGGCGCCATCACGACTTCTATGAACCTCAACCCCTGGAGCCCACAACAGTCGGTCCCAGGTTCCCCACTCAGCCAACACGACCAACCACTCGCTCGCGTGAGCACCGTGCAGGCTTCACCCAACCCCTGCTTTGTATCACGAGAAAGAGAGATCCAGAAGATGCACGAATACCTCGACCCAAAGAGCCCTTCTCGCAGTGCAGGCCCGCTGGGCTACGTCATCCACGGCCTCGGAGGTCAAGGGAAAACCCAGACAGCTCTTGCGTACTACTGGAAGCATCACAAGAGCTACGACGCTGTGTTTTGGGTAAACTCCGAGACAGCCGAGCAGCTCGAGGCATCCTACCAGGCCATCACTAACAAGTTGAGAAACAAAAAGCTGGTACCTGACAAAGCACCTCTCAACACAGACGAAGATGCGGCTTGGAAAATTGAGCGTGCACAAGAGTGGCTTGAAGTAACAGGCAAGAAAGCAGTGCTTCAATAATCTTGGACAGCCCGCTGACCATTGCCAACAGACAATACGTGGCTCCTCATCTTCGACAACCTGGAGGATTCCAAGCTCCTCGAGACCTACGTCCGCACCAATGTCAATAACCGCGGATCCATCATCATAACCACACAACACGCCCCGATCTCGCCCATCGCCAACGATTTCAGCAAGCTAGAACTCCCACCTCTACCACACGACTCCGGCTCCACACTCTTCTTCAAAGTCCTCGATCGCCCGCCGAAAGACGACGACGAGGCAAGCACAGCCTACGAGATTTGCGAATGGGTCGGCGGGCTCCCGCTGGCCATTGTCACCGTAGCCGGGTACGTCAAGTGCTCGGATTCGTCGCCGACCGAGATATTCGCCAGCCTGCAGCGGTCGTCTAGGGTCTGGAAGAGCTCCGGCACCGGCGCGGTGCGGAACTACGACAAAACGCTTTCGACCGTCTTTGACCTCGCGCTCAAAAGCATCGGCGAGCCCTCGCTGCATTTCCTGTACTTGCTGGCGTTTCTGAGCCCGCAGGGCATACCGCAGGATCTGTTGGTTCATCCGCATGCGCTGCCGTCTCTGCAGTTTCTTAATGATCAGGACGAGTGAGTTCCCTTTCCCCTGGTCTTGGTGGGACCTCTACATAAATGTCTATCTATACAAGTCACTTGAGTCAAGTGTCTATGTAGATGAGTAGCACCCGTATTTACTAACCTGGTACAAAACCAGATACCTCTCGATACGCAACGACCTCGGCCAGCGCCAGCTGATCAAGAAGGAACCCGGTCCAACAGGCCCAGAGCTCTCTATCCACCGCTCCCTCCAAAATAACCTCCTCCTCGGCCTGGCCACCAACACCGACACAACCTTCCGCAACCAGGTCTTCGCCGAAGTAGTCGCCATGCTCGACGCCGTGGTCCCGCAAGCCAGCCGCCTAGCCCAAAACGAAAAAGACCTCTGGCCCGCGTTCGCGCGCTACGTGCCGCAGGTGCTCGCGCTGCGGCGCAATTCGCAGTGGCCCGACCCGCCCATCAACCTAACGCTCGACTTCGCCAAGATGCTGGGCAATATCGGCGTGTTTCTCTGGCACACGGGCCAGATCCGCGAGTGCGACGCCGCCATGACCACAGCGTTGGCGATTATCAGCCGGCAGCCCCTGAGTCTGCAACAGACCCCCGCCTGCGAGGCCCTCGTCAGCGACATCTACCTCGTAACGGGTATCTTGGCCGACTGTATCGGCGTCAGCCGCCGGCGCGAGAGCCTGGAGCACAGACGGGTGCTCCGGGACCTGCGCGAGCGGGAGTTCGAGGCTATCCCTGCGGACAAAGTCACCATGGACGACGAGATCCGGCTGGCGAACGCTAGGGGCGACCTCGCGTGCGCGTACCTGCAGCGGGGGGAGTTCAGTAAAACGCGGCGGATCATGGAGGACCTGTTCACAAACTACTACAAAAAATGGGGGACTGAAGACGCGCTCCCGTACGAGTACTCCAAGTACTACCACCACGTGGGCCACGTGCTGATGGCCGAGGGCAAACCCGCGCAGGCGGTTGAGTTTGCGCGCCGGGGTGTGCTGCTCGAGGAGGCCCACGCTGGCGGGGTTGATTCGACGGTGCTGATCGACCGGTATGATCTGGCGTGTCTGCTGTTTAATGCTGGGAGGGTGGGCGAGGCGCTGGCTGAGCATCAGGAGGTGCTGAGGCTACGGATTTTAGCGTGTGGAAAGAGCGCGCAGTTTACCCTCGAGAGCCACGAGGCGGTTGGGATTTTGTTGCACCTTGCTGGGCGGAATACGGAGGCAGAGTGAGATTACCCCCTTTATTTTTGTTGTTGTTATTGTACCGATTTGGAACTGGGAACTAACTCTGATGATTGTCAAGACAAGAATTCAAAACATGCCTCGACAGCCACTATCGCAGCAACTGGACCACCGAGGGCGTCGCGCGCGCGCAGTTCTGGTACTCGCGGGTTCTGGCGGCGCTCGGGCGCGAAAAGGACTCCCTGAGAGAGCTGCAGGCGGCCACGGCCGTCAAGGGCAAGTACCTGCTGGATTTCCCCGAGTTTCTGGCTGAGGACCCGCGCAATCCCGCCGCGGTGTATGACCAGATGGTGCCGATGTGGATTCTGCAGACTTCGGGGCCTTTGCAGGAGGGGGGCAGGGGGAAGGTGGGCTCTTTGGGAATGGGTGGTGGGAAAGAGGGGCTGGGGTGAAGTAAACAATGCGTGATGTATGATGAATTTGCAGTTTCTTATAGGAGTCGTCGATGACGGGAAATCATCACAAAACACCATGATGGAAAGAAGCCCGCATAGCCCAGGGGTAGAGCGTATCAATAGTAATGAATTCAATTCATGATAAGGTCATCAGTTCAATTCTGATTGTGGGCATTTGTTTACTTTTGTCCGTTGGGTTACTGTACTTTTTTATATAAAGGCATATTATAATTTTGTTAAAGATAAAGGAGACGTCTCCGGTGCCTGTTGTTGAACCTCTGGCCAAATGTTTCAGAGTAATTGCAGAATTAGGTACTTTCTCGCAAGCAAGGACCCCTAACCCTACCGATCCTTAATCCCCGTCGACTTGGCGACCTGAATGGAAGCCTTGGCCACTTGGCTGGGGTCCCCTTGCCCCTGCAGGATGATAACGTTATAAGGTTTACTGGGCCCAAAAACCTGACATTAGCGTCGCGTGAGGTGGCATCTATTAGTTCAACGTCACCTTCACGCGACCCCATCGCAATTGTGTACCAGAGCGATTACACAGTACACGGCGTACTGCACGAACCCCGCCATGGTATACAGCGGCAAACCCTCTCGGGGGTGTCGGACGTGCCGGACGCGTCGGATCAAATGCGACGAGGGAAAGCCGACCTGCAAAACGGTTTGAGAAATTCAAGCGGGAATGCGGCGGATATCGACCCGAATTCGAGATTGTCCACCGCGACGAGACAAAGTCGACCGCCCGGCGAATGCGGAGGGCCGCCGGCAATTATGACGACGACCTCGATGATGTCGATGAAGACCACGACGACGACGACGACGGGTCTTCCCAGGCCTCTGGCTTTATTTTTGTCCATGAGCACCCCCAGGAGAAACCCATCATCCAGCCTGCCTCCTGTCGTCAACATTCCATTAACCTATCGCGCCGCCTGCTATTTTGACTCCAACTTTGTCCTTGTCCCCCTGGCCGGCACTACTCACGGCTACATGGAGTACCTCATCCCACTCGTCGAGTCCGAAGCACCAGCCAGCGCCCTACGCTACGCCTTCAACGCCTGCGCCTTTTCCTTGTTTGGGAACCGCGTCAAGGCTAACAACATCAACTTGGCCCATCTTTCGTTGAAACATCACACCCTCGCCCTCAGCAAGACCCATGCCGCTCTCAGGCAGCGACATCTGCTAGCACCGACGGTACCCTGGCTGCCGTGCTCCTGCTATGCATGTACGAGTCCATCACCGCCATCAAGGAACCCCGGATGCTGGCCTGGCGCTCGCACATTGACGGGGCTGTGCAGATTGTCAAGGCCCGTGGGCGTGCAAATATGTGCAGCACCAAGACGGGCACCCTGCTGTTCAATGCCGTCCGTCACCAGCTGGTGAGGCTTTGCTGATTATTTTTACTGTAACTCGATAGCCGCACGTCTAACATGATGCAGATATCCCGTACCCTCTCCACCGGCACACCGTTGCCTTTCGGGGCCGACTAGTGGATAAACAGTGGCGACACCCAGTCCTTCGCAGCCTCCCAGCGCTTTGCTCTCAAAACGGGAGAACTCTCGGCAGAGGTGACGCGCCTTTTGCAAACTACCACGCGAAATGCGGCTGGGACAGACTCTATCCATCAACTGGCAAAGTCTATCGAGGCGGTCGACCAAGAAATCGCTGCCTACCTGGCCAAGGTCCCGCCCGAATCACACTCACGAACGCTTTTCTGGGTATGGGAGGAAGACCATCATCTCCCCGCCGGCAGCTACGGCGAGCTAGAAGTCTTCCCGGGACCCGTCGAAGTATATCGCGATTTCGTGACAGCAAGCGCGTAGAACATGGCCCGCGTGGCACGATTAATCCTGGCCTCCCTCACAATCCGGCTCGCCGCGTGGGTATGCTCACCCTCCGACTACCACCTAACCCCCGAGCTCGCAGCCTGCAAACCCGTTTGCGAGGAAGCGATATCCAGGGTCATCGCTTCGGTGCCCTATCACCTGGGCTGGCACACCCGGCGCAGCGAGCTGTTCGCCAACGTCCCAAGCAAGTCGGGCTTTACGTGCGGCAAGCCGGACCCCTTCACAGCCCTGCCTGCGTTGTTCATCCTCTGGCCGCTCGCTGCAGTTTGTTGAAGACAAAGTGGGACTGAAATACGCCGCTATTCTGAACAAGGTGGGTCCCTAGCTACTTTAATTAAGCCTGGCGTTAACACTCTCCCAGTTCCCGTTCCACTATCCGTCGATGATGATCGGCGCCGGCGGGCTGATGGCAAATCCAAGTCCTTTGGACGCAAGGACTACCAGCGTCCTGCGGCCCGAAGATGTGACCCCGACCCCGGAGAGTCTCGGTTCGGCGAAACGGAGCCCGCCGGACACGCCTGGATGAAATGGTGTTTCGAGGCTGGCATTATTTAGACACACGATCCCCTGGCCTGGGGGTTATAAGACTAATATTCTCAAGTTGGATCATTACTCGAGCGGCAGATACCTCGTCGCCTCCTCCACGCAATCCCGCGCTAGGTAATTATCAAACAATCCGTGCCCTCGTCGTGGCCGCAGTCGGTGATTATATCCGACACACTAATACATGAGTTCCACTAACAGTTCAATGACAGATACTTGCGGCACGCTTCAAGCCAGCCCGATAGAACCCGCGTTATTCCCCGGCCGATACAAAGACCGCGTTGAATAACGGTTCAATGGGCGTGGGAGGTATAACATGTGTTGCACGTGATCTAGATTGACTGAGCATTGAATTGTCTGCTTAGATCGGTCTAAAATACAGGTAAAATAGCACCTTCTTATAGCCAACAGGATCGCTGAATATCTCCACGGAAGTCCGTATTCAGGGCGGGCAAAAGAAGACCGTAGAATTGAAAGGAATCTCCGGTGCAAGGAATGTAGTCGGATTGAGGGCATTCCGAACGCAAGGGAGGGTGCAAAGGAGAGAAAAGCAGGTGTTTGCATATGCAGGGGTAAAAGAGGGTCAATTTTGCAAGCAAGGGTCATTTCTTGGCGACAACATGCCACGCGCTACCGGTCGATGGACCTTGTCCTGGTCAGCGAGGAGGCGACGCCGGGGGAATGAAACAGGTGGGAAAAAGTCATGTATACAATGGTCAAGGGTTGGTGTACGGGACGTAGGGGTCTGGTAGGGAAACTAATATACAGGCAGAAACATTCATATTCTCACGAACGGCCAGTGTAGGAATTACCGATCAATCGGGCTCATGCGGCTGCAGGGCTGTGATTGGTCGACAGGGAAAACAAGTAGGGAATCATCATTATGCAGGGCACACGCCCTTCACGTGACCCCGAGCGCACGGGTCAAACGTGCCCAAACACGTGACCACGAAGCATCGCTAAACGCGCCCGATTGTTACGAATCCCTGAAGAATGCACGGGAGCGGGGCACACGTTGTTTGGTGTTGACCAATCAGGGGTGTCTCAGGGTCACGTCCTCGAAGGCTCAGGACGCCGGGACTCAGGGCGCGGCCCCGTGGTCCCGATATTCGGGACCTCGGGACGGTGGGACACCATTAATTAGTTCCCTAGATTAGATATATACGATAACCGTAGCCACGGTCTTGGATAGAGATTGCTTGGTTCTTCAAGTAAGCAATATATATTCCTTATATTTATATACTTTGAGTAGCAACCAAGTTTAACTATATTACCTATGCGATAGGAGCTTGCCCTTTGTTCATTTATTACTATTACCACCCAGCCAACCCAGTGTGTTTGCACACTACAAACATTGACCCACACAGTCGAGTGGTTTGTAATAAGATTCTCACGACGTCGTCGAGTACAACGGCCCGCTGCGTCCCCAGGGGTTTTTTGCACGGATTGCCGAGACCGTTTACCGACTGCTGCTTTCTCCCTAAACCGGTTTGGAGTCCCGTATCGCACCTGTAACGCCTGTAGGGCAAGCCGTGCAGCGTTACCTCTCCAACAAAACGATGGGCCTGAGCGTGTTACACGGGGCCGCTTAGAGAGGGACCGCCACCCTGATGACCCAGTGGCTTAGATGCCTAGGTCAGGGTGGAGCGAACGCCGTACAAACCACCAAATCTACTCAGTCGGGTTGAAAACGTTTTAGCCCCGCCACGGCTGATTTGCTCCACAAGCATGTCGCCAGCTTTGCGGTACGTATCGGCAATAGCTTGGTGAATATCTACCATACGCCGTAACTCGGCCAACGTCATGTTGTTCGGGACAAAAGCGTCCCGCATAACCTGGGCAATACTAGCCGGAAGCCTATACTGGCTGGCTCTAGGTGCAGGCTGGGGTATGATACCTTGTATATGGCTGATCTCGGCGAGGTACTGCGGGTGCGTTTGACCCGGTACGGCCGTGCCCCCGTCCTCTAGAACGTCGTCTATGGTATCTTTACGGTTGGAGGAGCCCATCTGCCTGTGGCCGAAACGCTTGCTGGTGCTGCGGCGCTTCGGGGGAGGCGTTAGGCCCGGAACGGGCTGGAATCCGGCTTGCGTGTTCAGCGAGATGCTCGGCAGGTTGACTTGTACTTCCACGCGCCTTGTACGACGGGCGCCGGGAGCATGCGGGCTCTGCTGCTGGGTGCGCCTCGCGTGGAACGTGCAACGGCTGCCGTCTGAATTGTAGTGACAGCCACCGCAGGAACCCTTCCCGAAACGGTCGTGCGTCACGCACGTAGTGAAGGGGCCGCTGCCGTCAGAGCAGGACTTGCAGGGCGGGTTGCGGACCGTGCCCGTCATGGTGATTAGAACGGCCTCAACGTTCGTAGCGCGGCCCCAACCGATTTCCTTTCCGTCCCGGAGCACGGCGTTACGGACCATCTATCACCTGTTAGTTGCTATCTCTCAGGCCGTTGCACGCTCGGGTTTGACTTACGGGCTCATCCAGCATGGTTTTGATGGCCGCAGATTGCTTCAGGCCGCCCATGTTGCTGAAGACGTCGGCTACCGACAGTCCCGTATTTGCACCCAGGGCAGGGTTTTCGGCCGCGGGCCTGCCAATGATATCCGAAGTAACAGGGTGAAGCCCCGAAGAGCCGAAGCCGGGGATTTCGGCCATTTTCTCCTGCGCGCGCGTTAGCTGTGTTACGAAAATTACGCGCCCGATAGAATGGAACATACGCGATTGAATGCTGGTACTCGCGAAGCCGTGGCGGGCCGGCGCGGCCCATAAAGTGCGTGCAAA